CTAGCTAGGCATTGTTTCTCTCTTGTTTCGTCTCCCCCCTCTATCATGGTTCAAATATATAAATTTAATCACCACCACTCAGGTCAAGAAAAAGAACTTTGCCTGTTACCCTATACATCCTCCCAGGCCCTTTCTAGTCATAATCCTCTGTGAGATTGAAAGCCTGGTCTACAGAGTGAGTGCCAGACCAGCTGTGGCTACAGGGAGACCTTGACTCAAAAACCAAAACAAACAATAATAAAACAAAAACTAAAATAAAATTTACTGTTATTCAGTTCCCTAAGGGTAATCATAAATAATAGTTTTGTATGTTTTCTTTTATATATTAATATATTTATATTGGGAACATATGTTTAGACCTATTTTAAGTTCTCACCTCAGGGTTTCTACTCAATTCTCCCTAAATGTCCTAGTTTCATTTCTGTTGTTGTGATAAAATACCCTGACAAAAAGCAACTTAGGGGAGAAAGGGTTTATTTTAGCTCTTAATTCCTGGTTACAGACTATCACTGTAGGGAAGTGAAGGCAGGAACTTGAGGCAGCTGACCACACCCATAGTCAAGAGCAGAGAGAAAGGAATGTAAGCATGCTGACAGCTCAGCTAGCTCTCTCCACTCTTATACCCACAGTCCAGGGCCTAGAACCCAAGGGCTGCTGTTGCCCATTTTCTGGCGGGATCTTCCTATATCCAGTGATGGCAATCAAGACAGTCACCCACAGACATGTCCACAGGCAACCTGATCTAGATAGTCCCTCATTGAGACTCTCTTCCCTGGTGATTCATGGTTGTGTCACACTGAAAATTAAAACTAGGGGCTGGAGAGATGGCTCAGCAGTTAAAAAATACTGGCTGCTCTTGCAGAGGACCTGTGTTCCGTTCCCAGCACCCACATGGTGGCTAACAACCATCCGTAACTCTAGTTCAGGACATCCTCTTCTGACCTCTGCAGGCATTGCACAACACAGGTGCACTTACATGCATGCAGGCATTACACTCAAACACATAAAAAATAAAATAAAAATAATAAAAATTAATGCCAGGCATAGTGGTGTGCACCCTTAATCCCAGCCCTTCGGAGGCAGAGGCAGGTGAATCTCTGTGAGATCAAGGCCACCCTGGTCCACATTGTGATTTTCAGGCAGGCTAGGACTATGGAGACCCTGTCAAAACACAATAAAAAGTAGTAGTAGTAGTAATAATAATAATAATAATAAATATAATAAAAACTAACTGCTATGAGTCATCATACACTTACTTTGGTTCCTTTCTCCATTATAATTATATTACCTAAATATCATCATTAGACATTATAATTTAGTCTTGTTTGTTTAAAAATAAGGGGGCTAAGAGTACATCTGTTCTAGTTTGTTTCTCAACAAACTAGAGACTGTTTTGCTGTGACAAAACACTCTGACCACTACCAACTTAGGGAGGAAAGGGTTTATTTGTCATACATCTCCCAGGTTACAGTTCATCAGGGAGCCCAAGGTAGGAACTCAGGGCAAGAACCTGGAGGCAGGAGCTGTAGCACAGGCCATTGAGGAATGCTGCTTACTGGCTTGCTCCCTGGCCCATGCTCAATCTGCTTTCTTATGCAACACAGGCCCACCTGCCCAGGGGTGGCACCACCCACAGTGGGCTGGGCTCTCCCACATCACTCAACAATCAAGAAGATGCCCCACAGACATGGCTACAGGCCAGTTCTATGGAGGTAATCCCCCAACTGAGGCTCCCTCAACCCAGGTGTGTCAAGTTGACACTAAAGCTATCCAGCACATCTCATGTGGAGCCATGCAAAAGGCCCTGTGTTCAATCCCCAGCACACTGCCCCTGACAAATGGATATCTCCTCTTTTAAGTCTGTTGACCGATAGAAGTTCCAATAGTCTGGTTTTGCTAATGGCATACTCTTAATGCAAATCAAC